CATTTTCATTTAACGTTTCACTATGACCATTCAACTTCTTTTAACAATTTTTACTAATTTTAAAAGGGGTAAAACAACAATTTTACATTATATATAAAATTAAAATTAAAAGTTATTTTTTAAAAATAATAACTTATTTTTTTAAAATGTTACTTAAAAATTGAAATAAAATAAAAACTTATTTTAAAAAAAGTTACTTGGAAAAATAAAATAAAATAAAATAAAAACTCATTTAAATAAAAGTTAATTAATAAAAGAACAGCCCTGCTAGAAAAACAGGGCCAAATTCCAGGCCCTTTCCAGGGCGCCTATCACTTGTCCTGATCATTTAAAAAAAACATTCCTTAAAAAAATAAAATAAAATAAAAAACTTATTTAAAAAAAAAAATTCAAAATAAAATAAAAACTTTTTCAAAATAAAAAAAAGTCACCTTTTTATTTATTTATTTAAATAAATCATATATAATACAAAACGACCGTTTTATCCCTTTTAAAATTAGCAAAAATGGTGAAAAGAAATTATGCGGCCATGGTGAAACAAAATCAAATTTAGTAACTATGATGATACAAGTATAAAGTTCGATGGGACCATTAGTGAATTTAACGCTTTTTAAGTAGGTAATTGTGGATTATTTTCCCTTTTTGTGACCTAGTTTCAAGATGTGAATTTGTTTTAATAGTCTTGAATTTGAGAAGCTGCAACGTATTAGTTTTATAACTGATACACATGGCCTATTATTATTTGCATTTGTGACCTTATTTTAAGTAGTTGCGACTTTGTTTACAAGTAATTGAAACGTCGTGTTCCTTTTTCGTGACCTCGTTTCAAGTAGTCTTGGAATTGAGAAGTTGTGACCAATTAGACTGACGTTTTTAAACATTTATATGAAGGCTAGAAATACTAAACATATTGAATATTGGTGATTACCTGACATGTAAGCCTGGGCTAAAGGTATGTTCTCCCTCCATTCAAATGAATTTTTTGATAAAAATGTATTTTGAAATAGTGATTTTTTGAAAATAAGAAATAAAAATTAAATTTACGTGCAACATTTTTATGGAAGAATTTTTTATTAAAAATGAGTTTTTTTTTTTTAATGCATTTTTGAAAAAATGAAGCACGAACAGGAGCTCAGTAGTGTGTTGTTAGTTACCTCTATGATATAAAATCCAGTTTTGATGTATCAAACCGAACATATGAGAAGTTAAAGAGGAGTCTTTTCTTAATTAATTAAAAAAAAAAAAAGAAAAAAACTTGTTCATGTTTGATAAGAACAAGGGCTCGTCGACGAAACTCATTTTTCTAGTTCCAACACCGCACATGCACGTTGCCATTTCCTGCCCCTCTTATGTGCTCTTGATTTGTCGATACGATTTTCGTTCAAGAGCTTTAACCTTAAAGGTCTCGTATATATAGGAAGTGGTCCTTTCACTTATAAATCGATCGCAGTTAATCACTACAATTGGCATGGTATTGTTCATTTTGGACCTAGAGTGCACGATTTTTGTTCTTGGGCTTTCACTCCAGGCCTTATTCGAAGTGGAAATTACATCCTCCCCTAC